ACTAAAATCCTCCTCCAACGGACAACAGATATATTCCCCCTTTAGTCACTCACTGACTTCTGGCGAGTGAGTATGCATCGCTCTAGCCCCCACAATGTCACATCATCTCAAACTCATCATATCTTCTCACTATTTTCACAAACTCTATAACCTACATTCACAAACGTCTTCTACGATCACTGGGAACACGAGCAAACAATAACAACTAATATATTATAGTATAAAGAGTGCTTACTGCAGAAATGCGGTGCGACGACGCTTGCCGACTGCCGCTCCAAAAAGGCACTACTCGTCGTCCACCAATCTCACTTCGATTTCCACTAAACACTTCTTCCAGTCCCGACTTGTGTATAAGAAATCGCCTAACAGGTTCCACACAGGCACACCTGCTCAATTTATTCATTAAAAGGATGCTCTTACCGTAGGGTCCACACAGGATACGTATATAGGCTTCAGGCCGCCCGTAAATCGTTTTCACGATAACAGAGAAACGTTGTATGTCGTTCCCAGACAGCTTCCTCACAAGGTAACACAGCATTCACTCAAACTCTTCACCATTAGCTATTATAACCGTCCTTCTTCACAGGAGGCAACGACGTACGCCTTTCCTCGACAATTCTTACGCGTGTGACCTTTACGACCTCCGTCCACAGTTACGTCTCTTAACGTAATGTCGACATCTTCTCTCATCGATGTTACTACTGCTCGGCTTAGACTCGGTTACAAGTATCTCTGGGAATTCTCATTATCTGCTGATGTAGACCTGACCAAATGTAAACTGTGTCAACAAAATTATTCGCACACCCTCCGTCACTATGTGATGGAGTGCGAAAAGATACGTGAATTTAGAGACAATTCTATAACCAATGTTCCAGCGATGTGTCAATATTTCATTCAAAATGATCTGCTACCAGAAATTTTAGCCAAATATCCCCAGTTTGCTAACTGTAGGTAGTAACTAAGTGATTGTAACCTATCCACCGCTGCCCACTGGATGGGGGCGGTGTGCAGGACAAACATATAAATTTTGACACTAGCTCTCCACATATGTCAGTTGCTTAATTTAGAACCTGTACTTGAGGTCGATCTCGAACCCATTGTTGATGTGATGACATATTGAATTTTGTAACTAGCTCATCAAGATTGTAACTTGCTTAGCTAAATGAATTGTGGGGTTCAGTCCCTGAGCCCATTATGTGCCTCTGTAACCCTTTCCACTACCGCGCACAAGATGGGTATGGGGTGCATAATAAATGAACTAAACTAACTAACTAACTCTTGTTTCCATCAGATGTTTGCCCTCTGGTTTCATCTCTAAAGTCTTAATTTACAGATGTTTGCTTAGTTTAATCCCATATCCTGACTCCTATGTGGGCGTGTTAGGGGCGTGTTTGTGAGGAGGGGTGTGTTTGTGAGGAGGGGCGTGTTTGTGAGGAGGGGTGTGTTTGTGAGGAGGGGTGTGTTTGTGAGGAGGGGTGTGTTTGTGAGGAGGGGCGTGTTTGTGAGGAAGTGTGTTTGTGAGGTCGGGTGTGTGTGTGTGAGGTAGGGGGTGTTTGTGAAGTGGGGTGTGTTTGTGATAAAGTTAAGTTTAACACAAACTTTAACTTTAAGTTTAACTTAATACAAGTTAAGGGCACCGGCCTGTAATTCAGTGCATCTTGAGTGTCACTTTTTTTTTTTTTGTATATTGGGACTACATTAGCCGTTGTTCTATATTTCTGGTATGTCTCCCGTCTCCAGTGACCTACTTTACACTATGAAGAGTGGCAAGCAAAGTGCTTCTGCACACTCTTTCAATACTAATGGGGAGATTCTGTTCGAACCAACAGCCTTTCACACGTCCAGATCCAACAGTTGCTTCATAACCTCATTTCAGGTAATTTTGGACCCTTCCAAGGCTGCCTGGTTTACTGCCACCTCTCCTAGTGCAGTGACCTCGCCTCGTTCTGTTGTGAAGACCTCCTGGAATCTCTTGTTGATTTCTTCACACACCTCTTTGTCATTCTTTGCGTACCTGTCCTTACCCATTATAAGTTTCATCACCTGTGCTTTCACTGTTGTTTTCCTCCTTATGTGATTGTGGAGTAGCTTTGGTTCGGTCATGGCGTTATTAGCTATATAATTTTCATACTTTTTCTCAGCTTCTCTTCTCACACTAACATACTCATTCCTGGGTCTCTGGTATTTCTCTCTGCTTTCTGGTGTTCTGTTATTTCGGAAGTTCCTCCACACCCCTTTGTTCAGTTCCTTTGCTACCATACATGCCCTATTAAACCATGGATTCTTCTTTTGCTTCTCGCATTTTTTCCTTTCGGGCCGGGATAAACCTGTTTACTACCTCCTGACACTTTTGGGTGACATAGTCCATCATGTTTTGTACGGACTTAGTTTTGAGGTCTGTGTCCCATGGTATATCCCTTAGGAATTTTCTCATCTCTTCTTAATTTCCTTTTTGGTACGCCAGCCCCTTGTTTTCTACTTCTTTTTTGGGGGGTGTTAACTCCTAGCTCTAGCAGATACTCGAAGATCAATACACTGTGATCACTCATTCCCAAGGAGGTTTCCAACTTAACTTCCCTTATATCTGACTCATTTAGGGTAAATATTAGATGAAGCATAGCTGGTTTATCCTCTCCTCTCATTCTTGTCAGTCCCTTGATGTGTTGGCTTAGAATGTTTCTTGTTGCCACGTCCAGCAGCTTAGCTCTCCATGTGTCTGGTCCTCCATGTGGGTCTCTGTTCTCCCAATCCATCTTCCCGTGGTTAAAGTCTTCCATGATTAGTAGTCTGGATCCCTTCCTGCTAGCTACAGAGCTGTTCTCTCTATTATATTGATGGTAGCCATGTTGTTTCCATCACATTCCTGTCTTGGTTTTCTGTCATTTGGTGGGAGGTCATATATGACTACGACTATAATTTTTTGTCCTCCAGTCGTTATGGTGCCTGTTATGTAGTCACTGAAACCTTCGCAGCCCTGGATAACCATCACCTCAAAACTACATCCTTTTTTTTTTATCAGCAGAGCTACTCCACCCTATCCTTCTTTCTCTCTCTTTTCTCACTACATAGTAATCCTGTGGAAACACTGCATTTCACACAGAAATCCCAATGGTTATCTTGAGGTTATCTTGAGATGATTTTGGGGCTTTAGTGTCCCCGCAGCCCACTCCTCGACCAGGCCTCCACCCCCAGGAAGCAGCCCGTGACAGCTGACTAACACCCAGGTACCTATTTTAATGCTAGGTAACAGGGGCATAGGGTGAAAGAAACTCTGCCCATTGTTTCTCGCCGGCACCTGGGATCGAACCCAAGACCACAGGATCACAAGTTCAGCAAGCTGTCCGCTCGGCCGACCGGCTCCCGACCGGTGTGATGCATCAAATGAAAAAATCCACAAGGGCCGTGATGAGGGTTCAAACATAAATCTGAGAGGATCCCAGACGCTGCCTTAATCGACTAGACCACAAGATGGTCACACATTTTTTATGTAATGAAGTAAGGGCGAAGAGTTAGAACAGCTTATTGACAGAGCACTAGTGCACTGGAGAATTGTGTAAAACCCTGGTTTGTGTGTTGGAGAGACTGCAGGATCTGTTTGAGTCCAGTGGAACTCCCGGTTGCAATTCCTTTGACCATGGCATGGCCTAGTCGATTAAGGCAGCATCTGGGATTCTCTCAGACGTAGATTCGAACCCTCATCACGGCCCTTGTGGATTTGTTCATTTAACACTGCATTTGTTATGGTTTTCATTAACTTTGTTTCTGTGAGTGCTATTATGTCTGGGTTTTCTTCTAGTGCTCATTCTTCAAGTTCACTTGTTTTATTTGTAATCCCATCTATGTCAGTGTACATTGCCTTGACACTCACTTTTTTCTGTTCAATCTCATGTCCCCTTCTTGGGACATGAGATTCTGTCGCCATGGCTCTCTCCTCCATCGTCATGTCCCTCTGAAGTAATACTTTGTCCTCCTCTCACAGTAAGCAGTTGGCTCCTCCTTGCTAGAATTTCCTCCTTCGTGGCCTCGTTTGGTATGGAGAGGTGTGTTTATGAGTAGGTGGGGTGTTTGTGTGGAGAGGTGTGTTTATGAGTAGGTGGGGTGTTTGTGTGGAGGGGTGTGTTTGTGAGTAGGTGGGGTGTTTGTGTGGAGGGGTGTGTTTGTGAGTAGGTGGGGTGTTTGTGTGGAGGGGTGTGTTTGTGAGTAGGTGGGGTGTTTGTGTGGAGGGGTGTGTTTGTGAGTAGGTGGGGTGTTTGTGTGGAGGGGTGTGTTTGTGAGTAGGTGGGGTGTTTGTGTGGAGGGGTGTGTTTGTGAGTAGGTGGGGTGTTTGTGTGGAGGGGTGTGTTTGTGAGTAGGTGGGGTGTTTGTGTGGAGGGGTGTGTTTGTGAGTAGGTGGGGTGTTTGTGTGGAGGGGTGTGTTTGTGAGTAGGTGGGGTGTTTGTGTGGAGGGGTGTGTTTGTGAGGATGGGTGTGTTTGTATGAAAAGGTGTGTTTGTGTAGAGGGGTGTGTTTGTGAGTAGGTGGCGTGTTTGTGTGGAGGGGTGTGTTTGTGAGTAGGTGGCGTGTTTGTGTGGAGGGGTGTGTTTGTATGAAAAAGTGTGTTTGTGTAGAGGGGTGTGTTTGTGAGTAGGTGGCTTGTTTGTGTGAAGGGGTGTGTTTGTGAGGATGGGTGTGTTTCAGTCGAGGGTGTGAGTTTGTTTTAAGGGTGTGCTTGTGAGGAGGGGTGTGTTTGTGAGGAGGGTGTGTTTTTTAGGAGAGGGATGTGTTTGTGAGGAGGGGGTGTGTTTGTTTGTGTGTGTTAATCTGTGAAGCTCAATTTCTTTTAATGCAGCAATAACTGAATTCTATGGAATATGTTACATAATTAATTGACTTTTGGAAGATAGAATACAAAAGACTATTGGTACCTAATTACCAGTTATGTATATTTTGAATGTTTCTCGAAAAACAGATCCTAAGCACTGTGTAATATTAGCCCAGCGACATAATGCTCCACTCCTCAGGTCTTCTACTTTAGAGCAGTCTTCCGCAAGGCCCTGAGTATGACCACGTGGGGGGACACCCTGAGGGCCCTCTTCTATGGGCCCGGCTGGTTCCCCGGGACCCCGCGCCTCGGGGACCCGGACACCTTCCCAGACATCAGGGGCCCAAGACCCAAGTATGACCCACAGCTGCCACTGTGGCAGGAGGTCTACATCCTCCTCCACTTCTTCCTCATCTTGTTCCTCCAGCAACTGTGGATCACGCACCTTGAGGTAAGAGGCACAGTCGGTTCTAGTTCGAGGTCTTCCAGTTGAACATAAGTATAATTTATACTGTGTTGATGTATTTTGTTCCCCTGTTTATATGTCTGTTGTCTTCCCCCTTGTCTTAATCTCTTCAACAACGTCACCAACTTCCTCGAGAATGTAGTTATGGCTTCATTAATCTTACTACGGGTAAGTAGGGGCATAATGGCATGGTTTAGCTGTCATCCTCCTCTGAACTCGTCCTTGGGAATGTTGGTCCAATCTGTGGTCTTGTGACCACAAATAAAGTTCATTATCTAAATGGGGTAATAAAGATAAGAACAACTCAAGCTGTCATGCTGCTGACGCTTCTCTATCAGTCCTTGAATTGTGTGGGAACCGACCTGTGAGATTTATATTTATTTAATTTATATGAATTTATATAGAATTTATATTTACGTTAATTTATATATTTCGATAGCAATTGGTATGATGTTAAGTGGACTGTATTTCTGCAATATTTCTCACAAATCGATCCTTACATATTAATGGGGATTTATATTAAATTTATATATATATGCAGCCAATCAAACTACAGTATTAAACTACATACATTAATCAAATTGGAGGTTCCTTATCTTATTGTATGGTAGGCTTAGTCCACCAGGTATAACTAGGATGTAGACATCAAATTATCCTCGTGAGAGGCTAGCTTCCATCACCCAAGTAACTGATGTACCAAGATTAATTCTTGCTTCCTCTTCTTGATCCTGTCAAAGGGAACTATTTGTAAAGCCGGAATCCTAATATATGACAGCTATATCAGAGAAAACACTATATTATATAAGATAAGGACCAAGGCTTAATTACCTGTATTTAGAGGCTCTTTCTCGTGCAAACCAGTTTGTCCTTTATCTACCTAACATTAACTGGCCAGAAATGATTAGATAAACGGGTTTCGGTAAGACACTTCCCATGTTTATGTTGATAGCGTGTTGATGATGGTTGAACACTAATTTATTCTTCATAACACTTCGTCCAAGAGAATTATAGGAGCTGAATTTGCTCCCGAGCGCCTCTGGTCTTAACAAACAATGACTGACCTCCTCACCACTACTGACACTCCTGGCTCACTTTGTTCAGATGTCAGTAAGTGATAGAAGGGTCACATTTACTCTATTTTGATACTGATAATTAAGTTAATTCAAATGAGATGTTTTTTTATGATATTAAAAGTTCAAAGACTAATGTATTTAAGAATAATTCCCAACAGAATAGCTGGTGAATTTATAGTACTATGTGACAATGATATCCCGTTTTCTATTGATGGAAAATTCTACTACAAGCTACATTTTCTATGGGTTAGCTTGTGTATACACCACAGCAGCAGTATTATCTGCCTATTGTATGTAATATTATTAAATGGTGTGGGGTTTTCCGACATAATTCCCCAGGGTGCAGCTCACGGGTCGAAGTCCTATTTAGAACAGACGAACACCGATACTCTTCCTTCGAAATATTAGATTAATTTGATGTTAGTAGTTAGTAATCACACATTTGTACGTCTGTTCGTACAGGACGGATGTCCCGTACCAGAGTTGCAGGGAGTTGATAGAAGTCTAATGCGATTTCATTTCCCTGTTAACTCTTGAAAGGCTAAAATTATACCCTAAAAACATATTATTTAACCCAGAAGACTGTGTCTTCGTGGTGTAGTGGTAAGACACTCGCTTGGCGTTCCGCGAGCGCTTTGTCATGGGTTCGTATCCTGGCTGGGGAGGATTTACTAGGCGTAAATCCTTAACTGTAGCTTCTGTTTAACGCAACAGTAAAAGGTGTACTTGGTTGTAACAACGATTCTTCGCGGCGGGGATCGTATTCCAGGGACCTGCCCGAAACGCTATGCATACTAGTGGCTGTACAAGAATGTAACAACTCTTGTATATATCTAAAAAAAAAAAGGGGTACTACAGTCAAGTATGATTCAGGGACTGCAGTGAGATCAGTGACATTAGATATAACTTGAAGCTTGTTCAGGTAACTGGTCACTGATATATAAACACTGAGGCCCATGGAATTCATCTTGATTAAATAATAAATGTATCAAAATCAGTCGTCACATTTATTGGGGTTTAATTTAGTTAATTCAGAGGATTAAATAGTCCATCATTAAAGCTAAGTATGGTTCTAAGACTGCAGGTGGGTTCAGTGACATTGGTCGCAGTGACTTGTAGCTGCTTAGGCTACTGTTCACTGATTTGCCACTGAGGCCTCATGAACTCATCTTCAGCTTTAAATGATGATATTAACAGCAACCTCTGTTGCTATAATCAGCTGTAATCTCCTTAGTATAATGCTACTGGAGATATATAATCAGCTGAAAAATTTAGATTTCTACTGGTATTGTTTATCTGCTGCCATAGGTCTCCTCAGGCTTAATACTGGGCCTGAGAGTAATTTGCCTCCTGCAGAATTTAGCATTGTTATGCCCTGATATTTAGTAGGGCTACCAATGAATCAATGGTAGTAGTCTGTACCTACAAGGATACCCAAGTCAGTGAGGTGATCAGACTTAATATTATCTGCCAATTTTATTCCTCTATTTCTCAGGAATTTGGCTGTTGCTCTCAGGCCTTGAACTTGTAGGTCTGCTGGTATTTTGTCCACCACAATGGCTTGTACTCGACAGACGTACCTGCCTAAACGTACTGATGGTTGTACCACCTGGTAGACCTGAGGTCCTGCATCTATTAGAAACCCTGAGATGTTGAATGACGTCTTGGCTACAGGCCTTAATTGTAGTTCATCTGCCAACTTTTTAGTGACATATGTTCTCTGGGACCCTTGGTCAAACAACCCACGGGTATGGACCTTGGCCCTCTTATTCAGGATGGTAATTTTGGCAATAGGCAAAGTCGTATTACCTTTAGACTTTGCCGATTGGACACTCTTCGTTTGTTGCACCTTGCAGTACTGTACTGTGGTGGGAATGCTATCTTCCACCTTGGGTCTTGAATACGTTAATTTCGTATATTTGCACAGTGCTGCATGGTGCCTACCTCTTCTACACCTGTTGCAGGTGTTGAATTGGGTATCACAATAGTCTATGTTGTGTGACTTGAGACACCTTGCACATCTCCCTAATTCCTGGAGTCGCTCAATACGAGTGTCTCTGGTTGGATAATTAGCACAACAGTATGTTGTATGTTTCCTTTTGCAGAACATACATGTCCCCCAGCCTACTGCACGTTTGGAAGTTACCGGTTTGGGTGAAATAGTAACAGTACGCTTGGTGGATTCTGCTGCATTACCAGATTTTCTCAAACATGGTGTGAGAGTAATTGGTTGATGTTTATTTGGGGTAGTTGTTTTACCCTTTAATTGGCTATTACTTTTTATTTTTAAAGGCTCGCATGAGGCTTTAACTTCCTCATTTGCTCGTCGTTTGTTTATGATGGAATGCATCCCGTCAGTGATGTCTTGTACTGTCAGGATGGTGTTATGTTGATGTGCATATAATTCATCTAGTATATCGCTGGACAATTTTCGTTGAAGGACTACTTTGGTCATCCATTCATTAGTAGTTATATCAACCTTAAGACTGAATGTCCTTAGTAATGACTCAAACTCCATGCTGAAGGATTGTAATGATTCAGCAGTCTGATCAGGTTGAAGTAAGTCCAGCAATTGAAGTACTAGATGTATGACAGTTTTCTCATTCCCAGCATTATTCCTAGGAAGCTGGACTGGGAAATTAGTGCTGTCGCTATCTTCGATTACATTTTCTACTACTGGTTCAGCTTCACCTCTAATTTAAGTTTGGAGGCATGTTAACTTAGTTGCCTCAGGTATTGGGTTTTCAGAATCCACAGAGACTGTGGATAAATTGTCTGAGAACTGTTTAATTTCTGGTGGTATAATATTGGGTGATGCTGTAGTGGGTGAGGCTTTATCCTCGTTGATTAAAGGATCTAATCTGGCTTGACATTTATTCTCAAAAAGATCTAGATCATCCATAATATTATCTACTTTATTTAATGTACTTGCTATTTGTTCTGATTCAATAATCTTGTGTGAGTGCTCCAACCTGCCTTGAGTTTCTTCATCATATTGTGCTAGGTCAGACATAATGTCGTCTATTTCTGTTTCTGATAAATTGGTGTTGGTAAGTTCAGCCACATATGTTGTTATTTGGCATTTGATTTGCTCAAATTTACCTGCAACTGTTTGATAATAGCTTTCCAGGTCAGCATAATCAACTGGAGATTGTTGTGACAAATCTTCACATTTCTTGATCTGTCTTGTTATGTGGCCTTTAAGACCTGCAAGGGTTCTTTTCATCCTTCCTGCATTATCCATACTGGCTAGTTGGTGAAGCCTTGTGGGGCTTGTACTTGGGTTGCTCATAATGCTGAACAAGTACTGATGGCAGCCTAGGGTGAAATTCTGCAATCACTTGGCTATAATCCTACCTCTTCTAGAAGTCAGCACTTAAAATTAATACACATTATATATATTTCATTTTTTTTTCACTTTTCACTGTAACACAACACCTATACCCCCTATTAGACTATTTTACAGGAACTTCTTTTCCACAGCTCATAAAACGGAGGAAAGGGTCCTGAAAGATATTGTTAATAGAAACGTTATCCCTACAGACAAAACTCAGAGGATACAACTGACGATTTACTATAAAACCAGAAAAACGGCCAGCCTACTCATGAGAAACTCTCCAAACACAAAGCAGAACGCTTTAAAAGAGACCAACGTCGTCTATGCCTTCAAATGCCCTCTTGGGGACTGTAAGCTCCAAAAAACCCAGTATATAGGCAAGACAACAACATCTCTTTCTAGGCGTTTAACGATGCATAAGCAACAGGGCTCCATTAAGGAACATATAATCTCTTCCCACAACCAAACCATCGCCAGAGAAATCCTAGTAAACAACACAGAAATCATCAATAGATACAGCGATAGCAGGCGGCTTGACGTCTGCGAGGCACTACACATCAAGAAGTCAACACCAGCAATCAACAGTCAATTAATGCTCAACTATATTCTACCCACCTCAAGACTCCGCTCCA